TTTATATTTAATATAAATTTATAAACATATTGTAGAAGCGCACGTTTATATTTGTAATCTATAAGTTTTTAAATGTGTAGCTCGAATTGTATCTATTTAGTGGATTATCTGACGAAATTGCCAGGATATTTAATATAAAAAGGATAGAGTAATAGTGCTATTTACACACATTAGAGAACATATTTTTTATAAAATGTTTAATGACACATTTATCTATATGTCATCAGCTATATATTATGAATATTATATGTACATTAATTAAAATCAGGATGATTAATAAAACTATATGTATATAAATCTATAATATTATTTTCGTTTAAATTGGAAAGCAAGTATGTATTTTAATAAATACATTTTTAAATAATATACTGGATTGGAACAAAAGTTTATAGCACTTTATCTGGTGAAAATTTTTCTCGGAATTTTTCTATATAATTTTATAACTTTTTCACATTTTTTTATACGAATTGGAACATTTCTCAGAAAATCTACATTTTTTTTCAGAATTTTTCATATATGTTAATTATGAAATAGCATAAGATTTTTTGTAAGTATAATTTCTGATGAAAATGTTATAAAATATAAAAAATTTGAAAATATTTTTTAGAAATTAGAGGATGAGAAATCTCAGAATATTTCAGAATTCACATGTATGAAAAATTCTGAGAGAATATGTAAACTTTCCAAATATATCTGAGTATTTATTCTGAATATTTCTGAAAAATGTTCCAATTCGTATAAAAATTATAAGAAAAATTTTCACCAGAGTTGTCAAGTGAAATTCAAAGACAATGTTTAGACATTTGTACATAAATTTATTCAACATATGTGCCATTCTGCTCCACTACCTTTTGCCATCTTTCAGGCAGTTTCATGATTCCATTCTCCCAGAACTTGGTATCTTTCTCAGCGATAAACTGGTCTAGGTGGTTTTTACAATCTTCCAGGGAATTGAAGCTCTTTCCATTAAGAGACTTCTGTAGAGCTCGGAATAAATGGTAATCTGAAGGTGCTAAGTCAGGTGAATATGGTGGATGAGGTAGGACATCCCAGCCAAGCTGCACCAATTTCTGCCGGCTTTGCAGGGAGATGTGAGATCTGGCATTGTGCTGATGGAAGACGACACCCTTTTGATTGGCCAATTCCGGTCGCTTTTCATCGATTGCTGCCTTCAATTGATCCAATTGGGAACAGTACTTATCCGAATTCAACGGCTGGTTGTGTGGAAGAAGCTCGTAATACACAACACCCTTCCAGTCCCACCAGATGCACAGCATCACCTTCTTTGGATGCAGATCATCTTTCGGACTAGTTAATGTCTCATTTCGTTTTCCCCACGACCTTTTTCGTTCCTGCACATTGTTATAAACGATCCATTTTTCATCGCCCGTGATCGTCCGTTCCAAAAATGGATCGTTTTCATTACGTTTGAGTAAAGAATCGCTGACCGAAATGCGATCCATTAAATTTCTTTCCGTTAAGTCGTGAGGCACCCAAACATCGTAGCGATTCACATATCCGAGTGTCTCCAAATGCCTCACGACACTCATATGAGATATGTGAAGTATCTCTGCAATGTCCCGTGTCGTGTTACGTGGATTATTTTCAATTAACGTTACGATTTGATCGTCGTCAACGACTGCAGGCCTACCGGAACGTTCTCGGTCCTCCAGATCGAAATTACCACTTCTGAATCGAGCAAACCACTTGCGAACAGTACTCTCAGCTACGGTACCATTTCCGTAAATGGCACATATCTTTTTTGCTGTTTGTGCAGCGTTTTTCCTTTTCCGGAAATAAAACAGCATCAAATGACGAAAATGCACCTTATTTTCCTCCATTTTTACTTATTTAATGTAAACACATTTTAGAATTGGCGAACCCACACATAAATCGCTTGGAGAAACGCGTTGATTGAAACACATCACATCACCTGTCAGATTGTGAATGTCATATGTTTCAGCCACGCCACACGTGAAACGAATCACGTGTTCAAACGCCACCTATTGAAGAACGCTACGAATTTTTGTTCCAATCATGCGCGCGTTTGCGCAATAATAATCTATAACACAACAATAAATACAGTAAATAACAGTAGTAATAATAATAATAATAATAATACAATAATAATAGGTATATAAATTATATTTTATAATATAATAAAAAATAATTCACAATAATAATGTATGTACAATATAAATAATCTACGGCTGCCATTTATATACGCTCTCGCATACATATAACGCATAAACAAATGTGTACATACATACGCACACAGGCACACAGCTGCACATAGCAGTCTTCATATTTGCATAATGCGCCTTGCGTTTATCTTATAACCTAAAAATGGCTGCGATCCGCAACCTCGCCCGGTTTACGGAAAGGGCAAAGTTTTTGAACAAGTGCTACTTCGCCAGCCAGAATGGCACCCTGAGATCATTCTCCATGAACGGGGCAGTTATAGGGCTGTCGCGGGAGAAACAAGCCTTGGTAAAATTCGGTCTGATCAGCGCGGCTACCGGCGTCGCAGTGGGTGCAGGTTATGCATATTACAGGATCAACGAAACTCGAAAGAACATCGCTCTGGAGGGAACGGAGTTGGATACTGTATTGCTCGAGCACAAGCCGCCTGTCACTCCGTCCCGGAAGGTATCCTGATTAATCGTTCTGTGAGAGATTGGATGTTGCGTCTTGCATTAATCTAATCGCATTTGTCTTGCTCAGATTGTGTACTCGGGGGACACCACCGGTTTGAAACTTACGTTATTCCAGTATCAGACTTGTCCTTTCTGCTGTAAGGTAAGTAAAATTTTAGAAATTTTAGGTAGCAGAATCTATACCTGTGTATAATTTTTATCCTTAATTTTTTTTCCTTTCTTTTAATATTTCTTTAATTATAAAAAGTTAATAATTCTGTCTATATTAACAGAGTAATATTGATATTTTAATATAACATATTTAATATAAATTTAATTTAATATAGATATTTACTCAACAAATTTATGTTATTTATCATCATTTTAATGTTATTTTGATATTAAAATGATGCTAGCTATTAAAATAATGTCAGCTTATTTTCTGGATAATAAACTAATCTGTTAAGTTAATCTGAATGGAATTATGTTTCAGGTTAGAGCATTCTTGGATTATTATGGGATATCTTATGATGTTGTGGAGGTAGATCCAGTACTCCGAAAAGAAATTGGATGGTCTTCATATAAGAAAGTTCCAATCCTTTTGACCCAACTCGAAGGAGGCTATCAGCCTTTAAAAGACAGTTCCATGATAGTGTCACTTCTTGCCTCCCATCTATATGATAGGTCACAAAAGATTGAAGAGTTTGTTGATTATTATCCAAGTATAGGCATGCATGACGAAACTGGCAAATTCAAATACGAAATCATAAATAAGTATTTCCTCATGTTCAATAACCAACTTCCAAAAGACAGAGCAATGGACGATATTATGTACGTGAAGTCTGATGTGCACAATTTGATAATTGCTGCAATAGTGGGTTAACTCACATTTGGTAAAAACAAAATAAATTAGCTCTAAACTTAAATATTATAATAACATAGTTCTCCTTTTTCACTCTAATTTTAATTAAAGTTTATTTCCGCTTTTACAAAATGTGAATCCATTATTGTAGCAAATTTTTTAATTTATCACACTTATAATATTTTATCATTTTTTTATATGTTTAGCGAAGAACGTAAGTGGAGGAAGTGGGCAGATGACGTATTTGTCCACACTCTGTCGCCAAACGTCTATAGAACACTCGATGAATCCTACAAAACTTTTAATTGGTTCTCGGAAGTAAGTGAATCTATGGCTGATATTCATAGTCCGTTCTTATTTCAAGATCGTCTTAAGTAATGTCTTAAGATGCTAATACAGCCCTCTGATTGGTGCGTGAGATCTTAAGACGATCTTGAATATAAGAATCGATTGCGAATACTATCTTATGAAAGGTGATTTAGAAAATATATACCAGAACGATTACATAAATGAGATTACAAAATTTTTTTCATTTAGGTTGGTAAATGGGAAGAATATTTCCCAACGTGGGAGCGACTGTTAATAGTGAATGTAGGCGCGATGGCAATGTGGTTAATAGGGAAGAGACTTAAGAAGAGGCACCATCTAAAAAATGATGTGCGACAATCGTTGTATGATGAGGCAAATTACTGGTTGCGTAGCATCAAGGCACGTGGCACTACATTCATGGGCGGCAACAAGCCTGATTTATCCGATTTAGCGATATATGGTATTTTGAAGAGTATTGAAGGCTGTGAAGCTTTCCAAGATTTGAAGACCCATACGAACATCGACGTTTGGTATAACGCTATGAAGGAGCAAGTTGATGCACATTCTGGTAGTGTAAATTTGAGTAGATAATAATTGATTTTCACACGTGTGTATAGAGTTATTTATTTACAAATAAATGATACTTATACAATTAACGATATGGTAAAATAATATTACCTACTTTCGATCAGAAAAAATATTTATATAATAATATATGGAAAATATATTTATACAATATTTAAACTGCGCAAGGCAGCTGACGAAATGAAAGTGCGAAGCCTTTATTTTGGGCCTCTTGCATTTCATCACCATTTGTAACGACGTAAAGTACGAATGGCTTCAAGTCCGCTAGAAATTCAGTGAAAAAATATTTAGTATCTCTATAAAATGTATAACGTGGCGTTATGATTACCTACATGTTTTAGTTATAAATCCATTTCCGCAAAATCTATCTGTATTATCGAAAACGCCATTTTCTTGCGGATCGGGTATAATTACGAAATCGGTGGTACAGCTAGCTCCAGATTCTGCTACCAAGGGTGTGCCTGTTGATACATATAATAATTAAACGCCGATAAATAGCAAGATGTTCTGCGATGGAATTTTACAAAGTATGTTCGATCAATAATTCTCATTAGATTTATACAGATTTATAAATTTTCAAGGAAAAATAATTGATATACCTATTATGTTTGGATCAAACGATCCCGTGTCTCCAGAAACGGAAAAGGAGAGATTATCGACTTCCGACCACTCAATAGTGCAATATCCCAAAGCCATTCTAACGCATACGCCATAACGATGATTCACCATCTGTCGCGTTCCAATCTGAGGAGCTGAAACAACTCTTAGTTTAGATCGTTCATTTATAGTTTTAAATGAATGGTCTAAATGCGAAGAGTTCACTGTGACGTTTGACTGACATGTACCTCGGACATTTTCTGTTGTGCCAAAGTTAAAGCTCATTACAGTGCCGGAGAGAATATTGTAATATTGTAAGCATCCATTAGGAGCTAAAACGGAGGCGGGAGACAATTATTCAAGTATCTCAAGGCAATGATATAATAAAAATGCTTGTGTACCTCTGCATACAGAATCGCACGCTATTTGCTGGATCCTTATATTCCAGCGTCGATCGAACGCAAAATCCGCGTTGGTGTCGACGGATATCGTGATTGGCGTTGCTCCGTTAAAGTCAACGTATACTGATAACGAATTTAATTTAATCTACTTTCCTCAACCTGAAAATTTGTACAAATCATCGTTTTATTTACCATGCTGATTAGTGTTTTCCCCGCATATTCTGGGCACTGTAGATGAACCTCCTGATACGAGAAACACGTCTAAATCGCAAAATCCAGTAGCATTTGGCTGGGCCCAGGTAGCCTCCAGAAAATCCAGTCGCAACTGCAAACATGGGACATTTAAAGACTGTAACTTACTGAAATTAATGCATAGTGTGGACGTTACCTGACATATATTAGGATTACAACGTTGCACTGTGATCGAGCAACGTTCTCCACCTCGATAAGTGATAGGATATCTCGGACTTACGAAATATGTGTTGTTCATGTTGGTGGTGGAGCCGCAAGACTTTTGAACTGTTGAAATATATCAATTTATTTTATAATTAAGAAATTGTAATTTGTAATTATGATTTATTATAAATTATAGTTTATTTTATAATTCATATTTCTGTTATGCTACTTACATATGCAACAAGTGCCCAATCTGTTAGCGCACGATCCCGACGGGTTACCCCCGAAATTCATACACTCTCGTCTTGTGAAGCACGTGCCATTAAGTTGATCGATGCTCGACAAGCACTCGGAGTTAGCGAAACGCACGACGCTGAATAGCGGGAAGACTGAACGAAGATACATCAAGAGAGATACGTCGTTTCAAATGTACATATTTAAATGACATTCATTACTTTTTAAATGAACTTACACTTTCCCCGATGATTGGAATGGGAATTAAACGATTTGATCTCCAAAGCATTATCTCTTAAGGGCTGATCCAAATTAATGGTCTGAACACTTATGACAAATACGAGAGTAAAATAGCCGACCAAGAGTATACTGATCATGTCTGGAAGTGCGACTGATTTCTAGATATTCTGGCTCTCAAGGGAATGCCGGTAACGGAATATATGTACTCAAATGATCACCATAATTAGCACGTTGCCGAACCCTCGGATTTACTGTTCCTTTAACTGTACAACGTCTGTGAGGTACTTTTGTTTTATTTATTTGAATCGTACAATCGTAGTAGTAAATAGAAAAAATAACGCAAAAGGTTTCGCATTTAAAAAACAAATTATAATATATATGCCACATCAGTGCTGTACAAGATCTAATCCTAAATAGAAAGATTGAAATATTTCTAAAACATTTTTATTTCGCGCGATTAAAACATTTCTAAAATATTTTCAACAATTCAATATGTACGTCTGATCTATAACAAATATCTAATTTCACATTATCTCAACTTTATTCAAGCAGTCACGTTCGGCGTCCGACAGAACGGGCAATGCCCGTGTCGTAACAACGCTAGCTCGTAGTCATCCGAATGAAACAACTGAAATATTATACAGTCATACAGAACAAGATTCGGTAAAGCTTGATTTTTTTTAAATTGCGTTTTCATAACTTACTTTTAAACAGCACTTGCACAAGCTGATCTGGAGATCGGGTAAAAGATTCCTAAAGTATCTAGTCTTAAAGGGTTTAGGCCATTTAATAATTATCACTGTAGACGGATCCATACTTTTCAATACCCCTCTTCCAACAGTTACCGTAGAATTAGTAGATTTTTCCTGTGATAGATAATTTTTTTTTTTAATCAAATGAACGCTTTGTGCAATTGTACATTCAGTGTTAATTATACCTCGTATTTCAATAAACGGACAGTGAAGAGATCAGCTTCATTGGAAGTTATGGTCAATTGATCGCTAATTGTGAGATCATCGGAGGAAGGTAACGGTTCCTCTATCAATTTCTCCGCTTCCTCATCCGTGATGTCATCCTCCAATTCAAACTCAACTAATGGCAGAATTTCTGTAAATGAATATTGGTTTACCAGTCAGCTGCTCTAGAATGAATTTAAACTTTTACAGATTGTAATCCGCTATTTACCAAACATAACGAAGGAATGTTGAAATTTTAAACCGCATTGCGTGCAATTACTACCAGAGACATTATTCGTCGGTAATAACGGATTGAAGGTGGAGCATTTGTAGCATAGAGGCAATAATTCTTCCGGATCACGATACGGATAAGATCTGGCGATTAGAGTCGACGTTTCTACTTGCGCCAAAAGATTTTCAGGAATCTTCATCGATCGTAATTGGTCCAATATTTGCATAACCAGCTTGTTAGCTCCCAATATTCGTGCTTGTTTCATTAGACAGTACATTATCGTCATCTTCGAAATGCCATCTAGTCGCATATTTTGCGTCTTCATGAGTAAATATCTTGAAATATTGAATAACGCTTCTGGCATCAGAGATGTAAAAGGTTCCTCCTAGAATACATTAATGTTATTGGATGGAAGGAAGAATAAATGGAGAAAATGCCACATTTAACGTATTGAGATTATACCAGATACTTGAATACTTCGTGATACGCATAATAAATATCCGCCTTGTCGGAATAATTGAGAAACATTGTTTTTATCTCTTCTACGCTCTTAGACAAATCCAAACTCAACTGCGACAGGAGCCAATAAAAGTAGGAGGCGTCGCAAAATCTTTTCTCTATCACAGCGTTGTTAGCTAGCATCGTGAGTACAAGTATGGATTCTTCTGGTTGTCCCGCCATTTGGAATGCTGTAATAGATATTAAATGCTGAGTAATAATTAAATCTCCGACACTGTGCGTATCCGTACCTTCTTGAGCCTCGGAAAATCGTCCTGTCTCGGCTAACCATCGTGCGTACGGTCCGTATATTCGTGACCTTAACTTCGGATTCCTTTCCGCGAGTTCGAAGGCCTCGGGCCACGCTTGTGCATCCACAAGCACGTCTGCAACATCAGGATCATCTCCCAGCCGGCTGAAAATCTCCGCTGCGCCATGCGAAGCACCCAGTTGCTTAAGTTTCTTGGCGATCATAGATAGGTTGTCTCTATCCGCCTTATCCAATTGCCTGCCTACTTTGATTAGCATGTCGATCCAACCGTATTCAGCGATAATACTGATGGCACGATCGATGTCTCCCGCGGAGAGGAACATCTCGGCTGCAGCGCGCGGCTCACCCAAGCTTTTCGCCCATTCCGCTCGCCGTCGCAATAATATCGTACGATCCTGAAGACCCAAATGAAATGTTAAACCCAATGTTTGATAAATATTATCTACTCATTTATTATTCTGTTTCATCGATATTTAACTTTATTACATTTTTTAGGTGCTAATCTTTAAAATGTTGATTATAAACGCACCTGCGTGTTGCCGGAGGCGATGAATTCCTGAGCGATGTCAAACATTCGTAAGTCGGAATACATATCCAGAGCGTATTGTTGCAAACCGGCTTTCTGATAGAGCTTTGCTGCGTCGCGAAGTTTTCCCATAGCGGCTGCGGCAGTAGCCATGCAAGCCTCCCGTCCCCATTCACCCGATTTTAATTTCTCTTCCACTTCGGACACAATTTCTATATAACGCAGTTTCTTTATTCGCGCGAACGCCGAATATGCGATGTTTAACTCTAGATTGTCAAGACACGCTGTCCCCAAGGCAAGCCAGTCTGATTCGGCCACGCCTAAGCATGCTATGTCATAAGCGTGGTTGTACAATCCAATATCTATATATTGGTACATAAACAACGACAATGGCACCTGCAAATATTAAAGGATAATATCATACAAAATACAGTTTGCTATTTTGCTTAATGTTATGACTTACCTCCAACGTCATGATGGACGACCCGTTCAAGCAGTACAGCTTTGAGCCATTGTGTCCTACGACAAAACCGGAGAACTTCTGCCTGTACTCGGAAAAATTCGCAACTTTTATCGCAAGATAATTGTTGCCCGCGAAACACATGATATCCTCGAAGGCAATGTTGAACGCGACGCTGTTGACATTTTGGAATTCTTGTAGTTTCTCGCCGGTGCACAAATCGAAGACTGATAGGATACCAGCTTCGCTGACTACTGCCATTTTCTCCTTTAAAGAGCTGATATCCAAGCACCTCACGGCATCCTCAACTTTCGCGATGTGCGCGGGAAAAGGATTGTCAAGATATATCTTCATTACGTGTCCGCTCTTCAATCCTAATATTAACTTATGTTACAAATGTTGATGTACTATAATAAGACAATAAAAGATCTCGCACTAATTATGTAGAAAATTGGGTCCTGATGAAATAAGTTAGTTTTCACATATGATGTAGAGCTTATAATGAAGTGAAACAAGAAAAAATATCGTAGATACAAGGTTTAATAGAGTTTTTGCTAAAACTTAACTTGTGCTAACAGAGCACATTTGTGATTATAGATAAAAAAATTATCCATTATTAAATTATCCTTATGTCTATAGCATCTTTTATTTATCACATTATAAACTACATTATATGTGAAAAACTAAATCGTTAACTAATTCATAAATTAATTCATTTCACCAGAATTCAATTTTTCATATATTTATATCATATTTTTTCATATATTTATAATTCCATATATTTTTTATAATTAGTGCAGGATCTTTTTTATCGAAATTTACCAGCTATTAAACATTCCTGTCCGGCGGGACCGCCTGCTACTTTGATGTAAGTGATAAGTCCATCGAGTATCCATTCTCTTTCTATTATTCCGGCGAACGAGAGACTCTGCAGACGTCTTTCCAGGCACAAAACTAAATGATTCGACGTAACAACTAACAGATTGCAGTTCAACGTCTGATTAAGTTTGTCTCGTATTCTATAATGCATTCCATCGCCGGTACCGGACGGTTCGTAAATGATTACGCGTTCGGGTAATTGCACAGCTAATCTGTTCCGATACACTGCAATTCGGCATACCTGAAATAGATATATGCATTTGAAAGTAATAAAAGTAATTGTATCTTTTATTTTTAAGTTATTTAATTATTTACACAATTTTTTTAGTATTATACTCACCAGATCTTTACATTTAATTCGAACTTTCTGATTCGTAATCAAATGCTGTATTATCACGTCAGTCATGTTCTCCCTATATGCATATCTATCGCCGTATAAACCGTGCACGATGTTCCAAGATAGTTGTAGATATGTAATTGTTCCGTCTTGGGCACCGAGTGCCTGTAAATAATCGTTCAATAACAAATCATTAAGATAAGTAATACCGCAAACAATATTTCATAACTTACAATATGTGAGGCAGTTGGATGAACGGCACAGCTCCATACCCACGACGAAAAGGTACCACCTACATTAACTAGCTGTATGCCATCGTATGTCATCAACAGACATTGTTTATTACTACCGCAAATGAGAAGATATTGGCCTTCCGGGAAGTGAGTGATTTTAAGTGGTGTAAAACCGAATGATCTCTCTCTTCTGATAGCTTCCCCACCGATAGTGTAAAATGAGATGACTCCATTCCATTCAGCAATGCAAAGAACATCCATAGCATCGTCCCTAAGTAAATATCAATAAAATGTTCTTATTTCTTCTGTCTCTTAATTAGATGTAATAATTATATCTTTAATTTTTATAAGATTGTAGGTACTGTAAAGGATTCCATGATAAACTCCAAATTGGTACTCCAATTTGCCGTTCAATGCGTGTTTTTTCCTCACCATTCTGAAAAATATACAAAATATAAATGAATTTACGTTAGATTAGATAATTTAAAATAATCTAAAGACACGTTATACATATATTTTACTAAATATATTAAAAATATTTATTATATTTAACATTGAAGATATTTAAAAGCACATTAATATTTAATTACATAAAATTTAAAAAATTATATAGACGAAATGAGTAAAATACTTTGTTTCTTATGGATACATATCCATTTGCAAGACCAAGAGCTAAGTATTGTCCATCTCTTGTCCACGCACAGCAATTGACTCTTCCCCCAGACTTATGTTTCTGCACAGCTTTCTGTTCCACAGACCAAAAGGCGATATCTGAGAGCGAACAGCTGAGAAGCTGATGTGAGACGGGATTAAAATGCATCGACTGTACAGCTTCATTATGTCTAAGCAAAGAAAAATTATGGAATCTATCAAAGGTTCATATTTATTAAAGTTATAAATACGCAACCTACGAATATTTTAAAATCCCTTCCAGCTTAGAAGTCCAAATGATGACACTTTTATCTGCACCTCCTGATGCAAACTTCTTGCCATCTTTTGCATAACATACACAATATACTGTGTCCTTATGCCCTATAAGAAAAGACAATATATTAGAAAAATATAGAATATATTTTAATTGTTAAAGTCTTCAGATAATCACCCTTTAATGGTTGAATCAAAGCACCATCATTGGTCTCATATACAAGAACCTGATTACCAGAGGCAACAACTAATTGTGTACCATCTGGATTGAAGCAAAGATCATATATACTGAAATAAAACATCACTTTATTATATATATTTGTAATAAGCGGCAATAAACATTAAAATATATGAAAAGAAACAGTGCTTATCTTAATGGAGACTTTTAAGCCTTTAGCCTGTTCTGTGCTTTTTGTTTCCTGTCTTGCTTTTTGTTATTTTTTTGCACCTCGTCTTTTTGCTTCTTATCCAGTTTTTTGTTTTATATCGTCCGAGATAAAAGTTAATGAACTCCGAAAGAAGAAATACAATTGTCGATAAAACGATTGCAGAAAAAAGCAGAAGGTAAAAAACAAGAACAGAAAACAGAGAGCACATTGTAGAATAGGCTTTTATGAAACACAAACAAAATATAAAATCAAAAATATATTTTCCATTCATATATAAACGACTAACAAATTACACAATTAATATTGTATATATTGTTAATTTTAATTAATTCCCTGATAACATTATTATATATGTTGTATAAGATATCTAAATGACGTCTTTTAGATATCTTATGCATGTTATCTGCTTGTCTTATAGGCTTGATAAAGTAAATCGTGCTTCATGTATTGTAACATTTCTTTATTCCTCTAATTTTTATTCAGCAGATTTATGAAAAGATGAATTTATGATTATTGAGAGACAACTATCAATCTATTTGAGTTTTACCATTGATCTGATTTTTCTTGCACCTTGTCGACCCATGCTGGATGTGCTCTCATTGTGTCACATTCAGCACAGATTGTCTAATATTGTTAGATCAACAATGATCAACAATATTATTCTATGTGACAGAAATTTGTTTGGCGTTCACACAATTACCATGGTAACCGCAACGGACGGGTGAAATGTAGGTAATTCCGTTTCAGAGAACGCTGCTATATCGGATACTGTTAAAAATGGGAGCTTATTCAAGAAGTTTGTCTTCTCTGGATAAGAAAGTGTGCAATACTTACAGGCGTTATAATTATAACATTATTTTTGTAATACATTGTAATATTTTCATAATACACGCAATTACATTTTATGATCATCATAGAATAAAATTAATTAAAGTTTATAATTCGATGAATATCGCAACACACGCCATTGATACTTCATTACTATTACTATATACAAGCTATACAAGTATTTATAATAAATTATAAATTTATAAACTATATACTTGCATAGTTGTATATAATAATGGTAATAAATCATGATTGCTTGTGTTTTGAAGTTTACTATATTGAATATAAAATCAGGATTGGCAAATGTTATTACTTTTTAGTTACTTTGCTGTTACTTTTTATAATAAACAATTTGATGATAATGTTGCAATTTTTTTATAACGGTAACGTTAACTAATTAAACGCTATAAGGTTGTTTAAGTTAGAAACGTTACTTCGAAAAGTAACAATTATGCGTTTATACTTACTGAAAAAAAGTAATAAATAATGAGTAATGGATAACGATCAAGCAGAATTGCCGTTGAGGCTAAACAAAAATTGTTTATTTTCTTCTCAGTAAAGTTCTGAGAATTTTTTCAGAATTTTTTAATACCGTATTTTTTCATGATAATAAAAATAAGAAAATACATTAAAAGTTGATAAAAAATTCTGAAAAAATTCTTAGAGTTCTATGAGAAAAAAATAAATAATTTTTATTTCTTATAGGTTTTTTGTAAAATTGATAGTATTTGAGAAAAAAATTGTAAAAGACCAATATTCGGCCATTTTTAGTAATTAATATCTTGTTAACTATTGCGAACATTACAAAATAGTATTAGACTTTTTTGTTCCCCTTGACTCTACACAAATCCAATGCGGCTCCGACCTTATTTAATCCTGTACATACATTGTATATATTGAAAATCTTATTTATTATATAGTTTATTCACTAACATAAACTACTTGTATTTTTTTTTAGATTGGCCAATATTCATATTTATTCAGAAGACAGTCTTAACCCTATAGCAAAATGTCAGCAATTTGGAGCCAAATTGACAGCAAACTCAAATTTCTTTAATTCTTCCTTTAAATAGAATTTATTATCAAAATTGTCTTCATTAAATTCGGAAATCAAATTAGTAATGCAAATAATCCTTCAGTTTCCGAAAGCACTTGTTTTCAATATGATTCCTGTATAAGAACAGAATATGGATGAACATTTCCTCTATAAAGGTAGAGGATCGGTCTAATACTGTGGTGAAGAAAGCGCTTCCTGTCCCTAATCTGGTAAGTTAGATAGAACAGGTCAACATAGTTTAATCATCAAAATCTTTATTCAATAGTTTCAACAGGCTCAGATACAAAATAATACAAAACTGTGTTTCAGCATAGGTCTGGTAGTAATATGCTTTCACACAAGTGATTTCTCATAAAAAAAAGTCTGAAAAAACAGACTTCTCCTAAAAAACAGACTTGAATAGTATTCATATAGGATCTATCAATATTGTCCATTGTCTAAATGCTTATTGAATTAATACGATTTATCTAATATAATACTAACAATCGCTTACAAAATTATATATTACAAATATATTACAAAATTACAATAATACTAATAAATAATACTCTAGATAATAACATTATTCCTTGTGTTGCGATTCTTCTTTTGTGTGTGGCATGGAAGCACTGTTGATTATTGGTTTTGGATTCAATCTGGAGGTCTGAGTACTTGATAGGGTGATTATTGGAAGAGCATCCTTCTTTAGCTAGCTGATCGGTTATCTCATTGCCAGTGATGCCTTTGTGAGCGGACACTCAGAAGAGAACTATGGCACCTGTTTGTTAGCCCGCCAGAATTCGTTTTTAATTAGACTGATCAGATAATTATCTCGGTTAGGTTTAGGGTGTTTAATGTCTCCAGGATACTTGTTGAATCGGTAAATATGATGACATTGCGACATCTATTTTTTGGGCAGTGAATAAAGCTTGTAGTATGGCCCAGGCCTCCGCCATGTTGCGATATTTATGTATTCCCAATGAATGAATATACGTCACTATACTATAAATTAGCACTATAGCAGTGAATATGGGAACAAAGCCAATGTAAATAGTATTTTTAATTCTAGTTGATAGAATTACTACTTCTCAGAGTTACTATTGAAAACAGTAGTTTGATATCAGTTAACAGGAGCCATTGGACAGGAAGCGCTCGATAGGCACTATCCTTATTTAACCAGTAATGTTGACCATTTTGCGTTCAGCATAACGCAACAGTTTTGCTGTTCAAAAATTTTTATGACTATAGTAAACGATCCGAAATGCACTCAACATCTTGCAACACGTTTACATAACGGTCGCCATGATCGCCATCATGGTGGAAAGAAGAAAGATGAGTCACTCCCATCATTCATCATGGTGGAGGGAACTATGGAGGAAACCATGGACTGATGGACATTGAAGGGTGCGGTCCACTTGATGCTACCAAGCGTTTTTGCTTTGAAGCGTTTTTTGATTGGTCAATTAGTAAAATTTTCTTCCGATTGATCAATCAAACGCTTCAAAGCATTTGCATCAAGTGAACCGTAGTAGGTAGCACAGTTGGTATCATCAGCTCGATTATTATCATAATCGGTATTTGCGCAGCGATTACAGGTAAATACGTGGAATTATCGATCATAATTGAATTCTAATTCATGAGAGTCATAAAATCGTCGATGTGTTACCCACTGAGGTACACAGTTCAGTGTGTGCACATAGAGGCCGCTAGTAGACGGGTTCCATTTCTAATGACTTTTTAGAATGTATGAGTGTATAGAGCGTATAGATTGTTCAAGAGTATATTCTTCTGTCTAATGCACTGATTTTACCAGATGCAAGATTAAATTGTTAAAGTTTGACGATAGCGGCGATAGTACATACGTGTGTGTATTTGTCATCTAGGTCCCGAATTAGTCGAACGGAGTACTTCGTGTATTGTTATTAGAATTGTATCGCTCGTATTAGTCAGAAACAAAAGCACGAAAATGAGTAATTCAACTATTTCGGATCAAACACTGATGGACAAGTCGATGCGGAGCGTCTTTGGTGAGTAATTTAACATACCAACCTCGACGCTGCTTCTTACAGTTATATTAATGTGACATCGCATTATCTATTGTTTTACAGTCGGGAATATTCCGTACGAGGCTACGGAGGAGAATCTGAAGGATATCTTCAGTGAGGTGGGACCGGTGCTTTCGTTTAAGTGAGCTTATTTTTCGTTATTTGCCTTAATTAATTGTATTAAACAATTTATTATTATTATTCCTTTCGAATCTTTTGACATATCTTAAACATTTCTTATTAATTTTAGCAGCCAATTAAAAAATATTACTAACTTTCTTTCTAAGAAAGTAACTTGAACTTTATCGATATTGAATTATCGTCTAGAATGCTTATAAAAGAATTTCTTTGCAATAATTAAATATATAGAACATAATTTTATTCATTTATATCTCATATTATGATTTTTCTATCAAAAACATATATTTGACTTATAAGTGTTATCTGTCTCTGTTTTTTTATAATCACTCTAATTTTTTTATTACAAAGGTATTTAATATAGTATTTGTATTTATCTACGTATTTAATTATTGCAAACAGATTAGTATTTGATCGTGAGACAGGCAAGCCCAAAGGATATGGCTTTTGTGAGTATAAAGATCAGGAGACTGCTCTAAGTGCTATGAGAAACTTAAATGGATATGAAATTGGTGGACGAACGTTACGCGTGGACAATGCTTGCACGGAGAAAAGTCGTATGGAGATGCAAAGTCTCTTGCAGGGTCAGAGTACAGAGAATCCTTATGGAGAAGCCGTTCAGTCAGATAAGGCACCAGAAGCGATAAGCAAAGCTGTGGCATCTTTGCCACCAGAGCAGATGTTTGAACTGATGAAACAGATGAAACTTTGCGTTCAAAATAATCCAAATGAGGCACGTCAAATGCTTCTGCAGAATCCTCAGTTGGCGTATGCTCTGCTCCAAGCACAGGTGGTCATGAGAATAGTGGACCCTCATACAGCTGTCAGTATGTTGCACAAGGCTAATCCTATCCCAGGTATACTGACACCATCGGAGAAACCAACTCAGCAGGTACAACCGCGAATCGAGGAGCCTTGGGCACAGCGACCCCCACCACCTATTAATGCCCCAGCGCCTATTTTCGCAGGTACGACAAAGAACCATCTTACAACATTAATTATTATTTAAGCATTATATTAGTTATTATTGGTTATAAAAAATTGCATTAAAATTTTGAGGTGTATGCATCCATTTTTCCTACAGTTGATCCATTCGAGCATAAAAATTAATTAATACTTTATTAATTAATACTACTTGTTTTATTTATCTTATGATTTATTATGTTATACTTCATCTGAATCGTGAAGTCTCCATTGTCACAGATGGACAGGGAATATAAATGTAAAAATTCAATCCGTAAAAACAGGTCAGGACGTAGATCTTCGACTAGAGAGACAGATAGATCCGTGTGTAACTAGGAAGAATCAAGATTTGAGAGGATCACTGGACAAGGAATTTAAATTAAAAATTGAATCCGTAAAAACAGGTCAGGACGTAGATCTTCGACTAGACAGGCAGATAGATCCGCGTGTAGCTAGATTGGATCAAGATTTGAGAGGATCACCCCAAACGCAGCCTGCGCCAGTCAGTGCGCCGGTGATACCGGTCACCACTGATCTGAGGGGGGCAAATGCATTTAATATGGCAGACAAGTAAGAGCACTTCATGTTAATCGATATACATAGATTCGATTATAGACTGAGTAATTAAAAGACCTCTTTTTACAGCCTACTTTCTGTGGAAGGAATTGAGAGGTCCCATACACATATATATATACACATATATATATATATATATATATATATATATATATATTAATAGGTTTAATCATTATTCCTTGCACTAAATCGACATTACTTTCAGCTTTTATCGCGATCCGAGATCTGAGAGATTCGGCAGAGATTCAAGAGATCTTAGAGATTCCAGGCCCATCGATCCTAGGATCACTAAACCTCCTCGTATGTATTTTTCACTTTTTTACATATTCGTTTTATGTAGATCTATTGACTTTATGTTCGACGAAGACCATTGTTCCATAATTTTTAACGACAATATCGGTGTCATAGTATGGTTAAAAGTTACAGAATAACTACAGTAACTACAGGCCTAAATTTACCAAGAATTTCTTTTTGATGAATTTATATATATCGCTAATGGACTTTTGTTTTTCAAAACTTTCAGCGGCTCCTGTCGCGCCTCCGATTGTTCCGAGACCGGTTGTTGCACCAACTGTGCCAGCACCAAGTACTGTAACTAGCAACACAACTGGTTCGTCTGCCACTACGATTTCGCAGCCTGCGAGTTCTGCAACTTCGAGGCTAGTGGCCGGAATGTCTCCAGCGGGAAGTATCCCCAGTGGTGCGTCTGATCAGGAAAAGGTATATTTAAAATTTTTTCATTGACAAGAACTGTTTATCATGTTTTTATTACATTTTTTATTTGAAATTGTTTTCAAAGAATAGACATCTTAAACAAAATGATATCGCATATATATATATATATATCTCGTGAGTCACATTTTAGAAAATAACATTTAACAAAAAAAGTACAATTATACGCATAAGAAAATATGTAAAGTTGAATGATTATATTAACTCACAGTAGTCAAACGCAAATCTAAATCATTAAATTCATTATTATTGTCTTCGTAGCATGGTCATATGCATATAAAAACATATATGTTACATATAGCTATTCTAAATTCTAAATAGGTCATGAATTTTTTTGCAGGCGGCCTTGATAATGCAAGTATTGCAATTGTCAGATGAGCAAATTGCAATGCTTCCTCCTGAACAGAGGCAAAGTATCCTAGTGCTAAAGGAACAGATTGCAAAAAGTACACAACGTTAATGTAAAATCTCTAATACTTTCTGCATACAGAACGCGGCAACGTTTGCCACATGGTGGAAATTAGTGTTTTCCATTTTTGTAGAAAAGCGGTAAACTTAATTGGTTACCATGCTAACTTTCGCCGCGTGATAAGTGTTGCTGCATCCTGTGTGCAGAAGCCATAAGTCCTGAATCTAATGCAGTATATATCAAAGTGTAATATGTACGATGGATTTCTACAAAATAAGATTTTACAAGAACAAAAGAGTATATTTCGCTCTTATTTCTAATCTATCTCGTCTTATTTATACGTAGAAAAAATAAACTATGATAAAATGAACTTCACAGTTTAAATTCTTTCTCGATTTAAGGCTCCTGAGTAATCACCATATTAAATCGTTTTAACGTCACGATTCATATAATTGTAAATGACTGGTGACTCAGGAATCTTAAATTATATGAAACGCTATATAAATCATATGAAATAAATGTATGTGAGTTAAGTTGAAATCAGTCAAAGAGTTGACGGTAATCCTCAGTCTTCTGTGAGATTAAATTGATATAAACCTTCTTTTATTAAATCAGCATAAAACAGTTCCGTACACATTTTGTCCTTGTATACTTCGACTACCACATGGTTACCCTCAATAATTTTCTGTGATAATAATTACGTATTTTTATGTGAGTTTTAAATAAATGAATTTTATTTTAAACGAACTTACCTTAACTCGGGCCACGACTACTTCGTTGTATATTTCATCTAATTTCGATGCTAATAAATCAATATCGTTAGAAACGAAGTTTAGCCCCCAAAATGTGCATTTGATAGCCATGGCAGGCAATTTCAACCATTCCTCTTTTGGTACACGTAAATCATAGTTTCTGGAATATTTTATTTTTGCATATCATTATATATAAATAAATCAATAATGTTAAAAACTTACTTGGAGAGTATGTCCGCTATATGTAACTGTATGTACTCGTGATTACCAAAATCGATGTAATATAATGAAATTTTCATGTACTGAGTGTTTAGAATTTTTTCACTATTTGTAATAATGCATCTATACCACATATTATCAGTAAATTTCGCGATGCACGGAGTATCTAAAAAATATAAAATAAGTATATGTCATTGAAGGAATCATAATCTGTATCAGTTAAATCATGCATAGTTTTATCTATGTTATTAAAAATAATTAAAAAATTACTCTTTGCAAAGGATTCGATTAATGGTTGATGATTAGTCTGCATTTCTGACATTACGCTTTCGTATTTCAAGTAATATTCGTGAAGCTCCTAAAAGATAATAAATAAATTAGATGCTGTTTATGTCAGATATATTTAATAATTCGCGTATGCTTACATTAGAGAATATATCGTCGTTATTTTCTGCCAGTTGCGCTAATGAAGTGATGGGATCTCTGTTACAACATAATATTAATTCAATGTACTTTGTATCCTGCGGAATGATCAACCGTTTGTATGAAATCATATAATCTTCTTCCTCTGATGGTTGCGGTGTTGAACAGGTTATATTCGCGTTTAAAATATTCGTGTCTAGTGAAGATATACTTTCGGTATCGGAAATCATGTGCTTATTCTCTAATTTATCAAATAATTCTGTCTTTGTAGTTTCCACTAAATTACCACTAATTACATTCTCATTTAATGTAATATCCTCAATATCACTAATTACATTCTCATTTAATGTAATATCCTCAATGTTTGTATTCGAAGATTTCTTGGAGATGTCAGTTATGCATAGCTTTTTGTAATCACTTATTGTTTCTTCAATGACAACATCCCTAGTGGTGTTCAAGGTTACCGTCGAATTGAAATCTTCATTTTCAGAATTGTCCGAATCATTCCATGACTTACGTTCGATCTTAATATCCATATCCATGTGATTTGAAAGATATAGCAGAAGATCGCATTTCCACGGTCGCAATAATGTGATGGATATCTATAAGTATGATGATATTGCATGCGCATAACATTATTATAAAATTACAATAAAATAATTGGAGACTTCATACTAAAGATTGAGATTTATATTCATAAACTGCTATTGACGTAGATGTAACTTACAATTAAATTTGTGGATTGGCGCTGTAAAATAGACACTTTGCATTCTTGATCAACCAGAAGCGCGTGTATGCGGTCTAAATCGATCAACTTCCATCTACCATTCGGGGATGCCTGTTGTACAAACACAAGGAGAGATTTTGAAGAAAATTATTGCGAATACAGAATTATGCAAAAAAAAATTGGTATTGTCAAAGAAAATTCTATTACCGGTCTTAGTCCGCTGATAACGCATTTTGTGCATTGAATAGGAATATGTCCCAATCTAATGTCATCTGTTACATGTTCTATTTTACATTCTTCCACATTGCCATAATCGACAAATTCCACCTTGGATCATATGATCAAGAAAAAGTAATGCGAAAATAATAATTAAAAATAATAAATTATTTTTTACCTTCACTACATTTCCTAAATTGTCGACAATTCTACCTCTATACCACTTTTGATTATGATGATATTGAGCAATACATATTTCTCCTTTCTTCCATTGTTTCTCTTTGTTCGTTTTAACTTTCTTACAATAATTTTGCAATTCGGTCTCTATGTAATTCAATAAATCGGCATCTAATAAAAGTAAAACAATAAAATATAGCAACATATTATGATAGAATATAGCAACATATTTTTCGAATAATTAAAACTATTGTTCGTATTGCTATAATATATAAATGATATTAGCATAGATATAAGCATAAATCAATGAAAAATTTCATGCAAGATTAAAAAGAAATTCTGTATAACTATTAGGGATGTTTTTTACCACTTTTTTACTATCCTATAGCCGGATATCATTAATATAGATATCCGAGAATATATCCGGTTGAAAAATTTGATATCATTAAATTATTGATTTTATATTATATAAATGTTCTAG